CCTTGGAAACCCTGTGCAGGATTGCCGTGAGTCAGAACCAACTTAATGGCACTTAGCAAGCTCAAAGCAAAGAGTGGTTACACCAGGGAAATCAGCAAACGTTTGTTGTTATTGTTAGGTGCCATCGAGTCGGTACCGACCCAAAGTGACCTATGCACATCAGAATGAAACACTGCCCGATCCTGGGCCAACCTCACTACTGTTGCCACGCTTGAGTCCATCGATGCTGCCACTTGGCCAACCAATGTAAGGGCTCCTAAAACTATCCCCTTTCCATCACCACAGAGATTGTTAAGCATTTACCAGCACACCACTGGTCCTTTACCTCTCACTGTCCCCTGTTAAATAATATGAATCATCAAAGACCATTTTGCAAAAAACTGGCAAGCAGAGGGGAGCATCTGAAGTCACACCCATCTGCAAGCTGCCACCTGCCCACTCCTTGTTCTTTTGGGTTTATTTGAGATTATTTTGGCCCACTCTTCCAGCAAGATGAAGGGGCTTCCTGCCCCTCTGAAAACACTTGCACATCTCAATAAGAGAAGCAGGTATCACACCAGAATTATACTCAGGCTAAAGTAAGAGGCTCCTTCAATTAGCACTATAAAGACAATTGTTGCTGTTATGTGCTGTGAAGACAATAGGTGTGGATATTACAAGTTAGAATAAAAATATTTGACTTGCAGAATTATGGGATTTGTTTTTGAGTATGCAGAAGGGTTATTTTTCATATAGTGTCATAAAATCACATGATGGTGAAACTACAAGAAACACAATTTCAGACAAAAAGAGAAAGAAGGTGAAAATCCAAGAAGTCCCGCGTCACACAGCTTGTAATGTATGTGTCTCCCCACAAATTTATGTCTAGTCACAGACTAGAAGGAATCCAGGACCCTCATTTTAGCTTCCTTTTCAACAATGCTTTAATGTCTCCCTTTAATTGAAAGTGAATATATTATGCCAGCTTAGTGCCAACCCTCTCAGAGATGATACAAATAATGGCTCTTTCTTATTAGGCGACAGGACCTAGATTAAGTACAGTATATCCTTGTTACTCATGCATCCCATATTTGTAAATTCACTGATTTGCTAACACTTATTTATAATTCCAAAATCTAGATTTGCAAATACTTTTGTAGACACACGGTGAGCAATGAAAATTTTGAGTTACTCATCGTGCAGAGTCTCAGCTGAAACTGAGCAACGTGATGTGCTGCCTTTTGGTTTCAACCTTCATAATACCAACAAGTATCCTTCTCATGGAATATTTAGTGTACCATGTTTCTGCAGTCTTGTGCTTTTTGCTGGTGGTTTTGCTGTTTAAAATGGCCCATAAGTGTTGGTGTAGTGCTGTGGGTTAATGCGCCAGACTGCAAAGCTGTTTGAACTGCAATCGGGAGTTCAAGCTCACCAGCTGCTCCTTGGAAACCCTATACAGGGTTGCTGTGGGTCGGAACCAACGCGTTGGCACTTAACAACTTAACAACAACAAACGCAAGAATTTTGCCATGTGCCTTATGGAGAAAATGTTTGTTAGATAAGCTTCACTCAGGTCTGAGTTAGAGTTGATCACCAATTCAGTGTTCACAGTGATTTCACAGAACAGAATTACCATGAATAACAAGACTTGGCTATTAATTTATATATTAAGTTGAACAACATGAAATTGCCTCTAACTAATTTTTATCTACAAAATGGTAACTTCAAATCATTCAGCCTAAATATATTATCTCTCTTTAACGTTACCATTAACCATGAAGCGGGTGTTATCACCCATTTTACAGATAAGAAGACAGAGAGTTTAATTTAATAATAATAAGCTTCTTCTCATAAACATAATGCTGTTATTTACAGGGAATACACAATACAATTCTGGGTATAAATCAATGATTCTCAACAATGGGAGATTAATAGGACATGAATAGCAATAACCCATTTATCCTTTCTCAGTGACCTTGAATACATTTCTGACCAGTACATGTCTATAATATTTAGAGAAATGCTTTATAAATAGTTGTTTATAAATATAAACTATAGGCATTCGAGACAAAAGAAATATATATCCCACATGGAAACTTCAGCTATTTTATCCCAGGGTTCACTCATACCCACAAAGAATGAATTATATTGGAATTTTTCCTACTGCTCATCTGAAGCAGAATGATTTCACAACATTGTCTAGAAAAAAATTAAAGCCAAGCAAATTCTGAATCCAGACCATTTGACTAGTGGTTATTTACAAATAGTGCTATACTGAATTCACAACAGGGCAGTTCACAGCTATGCTGCTCAGGAATTAACATTATGTGATGATGAAATGTTGAATCAGGGGGAAAACATGGTGAGAACTATAAAATGGACTTTGAAAAAAATGTTTAAAGGCAACAATACTTTCAGTATGGAACAAGAAGTTTAAATACCCCAGCTGCAATATGAGAAAAATTGACCAACTCCATGTGATTTAACAGCTCTATGTGTTAGATCAAGGAGCCCAGGTGGTGCAGTGGTTAAAATGCTCAGCTGTTTACCAAGGCAGAAAGAGAGAAAGATGTGGTGGTATGATCCTGTAGAGAAGACAGCCTTGGAAACACTGTGGGGCAGTTCTGCTTTGTCCTATAGGATCTCTATGAGTTGGAATTGACTTGACAGCAGTGGGTTTGGTTTGATTTGGGTTATATGTGGAATTGGCTAAGTTCAAAAGTTGGCTACCGACCCTATATTAATTTAGTCAACAAATATTTATTGAGCACCTATCAAAGGAGTCCTGGTGTGGTGCTGTAGGATAAACACTTGACATAAGGCTGGTTTGAGCCACAAGGTCAGTAGTTCAAACTCACCAGCTTCTCCTCAGATACTCTATACAGGGTGGCTATAAGTCAGAATCAACTCGATGACACTTAACAACAACAACATCAAAGGGGCCTTAAACATAATCAGTAACTTCTGATTAACTGGTTAACTATTAACAACGAGAGTGTACTGAATGGCTTGTGTCAGTCTACTGAAAGTTTTGTGCTAAGAAGAAGAGCAAATCTAATCTCCTCTAAAAAGTAGGCAATATTATCTTATCTAGTACTCAAAAGTGTTCATTTAATTAATGATCTGGCCTTATTCAGGAGTCCATTTCACTGAATGCTTTAAAGCCTGCCTCTCAAAGACCCCACATTCCTGCCTGCAAACCTACTAAGCGGATCCTGGCCAAGAATCAGAGCAACTGATCAAGCATTTAAAAATGTATTATTTTATTAACATAATATATTTGTATTAATAATATAATATTATTTTTTAAATATTATTTCTCCTTCAGTAAAATAAAGGGGAAAAGCACTTCACTGACTCCCTTAAAAACGGGCAGATAAAACATGTGTGCTTTTTGTGTGGCACTGTAAGTTTATGTGCTGGATTGCAATGTTGGTTTGGATGACAAGGTCAGTAGTGCAAGCTTACCAGCCGCTTCTTGGAAATCCTGTACAGGGCTGCTATGAGTTAGAACCATCTCAAAGGCACTTAGCAACAACAACAGTAATATATGGTAAAGTAAGAGATTAAACATATACTGATAAATTGCTGAGATGTGCTAAATAAACATCCCTTCATTGAACCAAAGAATTTTTGAAGAAGGAAGGGAGCTTGTAGGTCATTATTTATAGTCTTTTCATTTTATAAAGAATGAACCTGAGGCTAGTAAGGTGGAGACTTTGGCTCAGGCTCCATTACCTAGTGAGAAGTAGAGTTTGGTCTCTTGATCTCTCACCCAGAGTGTTATTTATGCAACTACCTACTTTACTGCTATGATTATTTATGTTGCACTTGTTATTTTGAAATATGAGCGTACGTTAGATATACAAAAAGATTGGCCTAACTAAACAGTTACCTATGGATAAGAATTGCTGGTCTGCACTACAAGTCACTTTTTGTTTGCTAATACTAGCCTCCTGGGAAGCTTTACAAGGGCTTAAGGGGTTTACTGTTGTGCCTGGCAAATTTGAGGCCACATTTTACTAAACTAAATGCCCAGAGAGTATTAGTCCAAGTTGCCAGGTGAAAGATGACCATTGAGTTAAATGAGTGAACTGAATCAAAACAGCGAATCTATCTACTATAGTGTGAATTCTGGCTCCACCACCTAACTTGCTGTGAAACAGTGGGAAAATTACCCAAGAGCTCTGTGTCTCTAGACCTATCACAGGACCATTCCAGATACCAGTTTCCTCTGCTGTTTTTGTTGTAAAGTGCTGTCAAGTTAGTTCTTACAGGTACAGACCCTGTAAAAGATTTCTGAGGAGCCATCGATGGATTTGAACTGCCAACCTTGCAGTTAGCAGTCCAGTGCTTATCTTACAGTGCCACACCAGGACATCATCTCTTGTTGTTGTTAGGTGCCATTGAGTTGGTACCAACTCATAGCAGCCCTATGTATAACAGAACGAAACACTGCCCAGTACTGGGCTAACCTCACAACTATTGGCATGCCTGAGCCCATTGATGCTGCCATTTTGCCAATCCACTCGTTGGGGGTCTTCCTCTTTTTCTCTGACCCTCTGCCTTACCAAACATGATATCCCTTTCCAGCAACTGGTCCCTCCTGACCATCTATGCAAAAGTATGAGAGATGGTTCAAATGCTAAGATTCCATTGATCTGTATCCTATAGTACGAAGTGTATTTCAAACAAAGTTTGAGTTCTATCCAATCAAAACCTTTGCTATGTATATTATCATTATAATTTTAAAACTAAACTCTGCCTTGCAGGAAAAAAAGAAAAGCTGATGACTACAAATGTATAGCTCTATAGTTTTCAGAACTGAAATAATCTATTACAACCACCTCACCTCTTGGCTCTCTGCTACACTCTATTTGATTAATTGTACTTTTTAGATTGTTATAATCAGCATGTTTGTGTTGCCTGTTTTCTATTTTATTCCATGTGCATCTTTATAAGTCATCCCAGTCCAAATATAAAATACTATTCAGAGAAAGACCAAACAAAGTCTCACATACCCCATGGCGGTCCTCAAAATAGGCCAGACTGGTTTTGGTTAAAACAAAGAAGCGGACTTTAAAGTTCGAGGGAGATGTTCTTCTCTTTTGCTGGGATTTCTTGATGAGCTGTTCTTCCAGGAGAACAAAGTTGTTCATGATCCGATTCTTGACAAGTGATGCGCCTTGGGCATCACCACTTTGCACAGCCAGAGGAAAGAACTTCTGGACAAGGAATGTGATGTGATGGGGAGGCGGTTGGTTTTAGAGAGTTGTTCAAAGACAACTTGCCTCCAACCTTATCTTTCTATCAAGGTTCAGTCAGCATTGCAGAGCTTCCCCTCTGATGTCAAAGGATATAACCACATCCTTTCAAAAACTCACATAAGAGGCATATGCAAAAAAAATTATACCCTTTGCTATATGATTTGGAAATGATATTTGAAGAACCTTAGACTCAAAATGATATTAAAGACTAGAGTTTAATACTTACAATTCCTAGTTTAGCACATCCAACAGTTGATGTCTAGCACAAGGGGCTCGGGAGTCAATTAGACTTAGTTTGTGTATTTGTTTCCTGTTGCTGCTGTAATAAATTACCACAGACTTAGTAACTTAAAATAACACAAACTGTCTTTGTAGGTTCTGTAGTTGAGAAGTCTAAAATGGACCTCTCTGTGCTAAAATCAAGGTATTGGCAGGGCAGAGGTTCCTTTCTGAAGGTTCTAGAGTAGAGTCTTTCTCCATGGTCTTTCCTGATTCTAGAGGTACCTCCATTCCTTGGCTCATGGCCCTCATCCTTCCATCTTCAAAGCCAACAACAACAGGTCGTGTCTTTCTCACTTCATGACATTCTGACTTGTCTGCTTCCCTCGTCCACATTTAAAGGCCCTTGTGATTACATTCCTCAAGCCCTGATAATCCAGGTTATACACTTATTTTAAGGTCAGCTAGTTAGCAACAATCTTAATTCCACCTGCTATCTTAATTCCACTTTGCCATGGGGTCTTGGTATGTTGCTGTAGGATAAGCGCTGGACTGCTAACTGCAAAATCAGTGGTGCAAACCTGCCCTGCTCCTTGAAAACCCTATACAGGCTTGCTATGAGTTGGAACCAACTCAATGACACTTAACAACATGTAACCTAACATATTCACAGGTTCTAGGAATTAGGACATGGGCATACACGGGGGACCATGATTCAATGAGAGTGGACAACAACAACAACATAATTCTGTCTACTACACTTTGATTTTTAGCTCCAATATCTAACCACCTGTGAGAGTGTGGGCAAATGTCTTGAGGACTCCATGGGTCTCTTCTCTGGCTTCCTTGCCAGCCTTATTTCACTCGGCTCACTTGGTCTCCCTTCAGCCTCTGTCTGACCCTCGAATTTGCTCCTCCTAACATGTTACACTTTCTGCTTATGCTTCCTGAAAACATTTTCTTTCCCTTTCTTTGCCTGGTAAACTCTACATTATATTGCAAGTCTCAGCCTACATGCCATTTCTTCAGGCCCCAACTTTCCTAAGTCAAATCCCTCAGTTATACACATGGCACCTTATCTTTCTCTTTATGTCACGGTTGTGATCGTACGTTTTAGAGGGTGATTTTTTTAAATTCATTGTTTTCTTTCCACTTGTCTGGAAGCATGATGATAAGGACTATATCTGGCTTTTCCACTGTTACATCCTCAGTATCATCATAGGATCTGGCTCATTAAAAGGATACTTAATTTTAAAATGCTGAATGAAAATTCACCAACCTGAACGGAGGAACTGAAAAAGAGACAATAAACACAAAACAATTAGCACAGAAAGTACTTGATATATGTTATTGCTAAGTGCCAAGTCAGTTCCCACTCATGGTGTCTCTGTATAGAATTTCCAAGGAGCAGTTGGTGGGTTTGAGCCACCAATCTAGTGGTTAGCAGTTCAGTACTTATCCTACAGCACTACACCAAAACTCCTTGATATACAGGTGGCTGTGTGCTGTGGAATCGGTTCCAACTCATAGAGACCCTGTATAGTGTTTCCGAAGCTGTAAATCTTTACAGGAGCAGAAAGCCTCATCTTTCTCCCATGGAATGGCCGGTAGTTTTGAACTGCTGGCCTTGAGGTTAGCAGCCTGAAAAGTTTAAATTAGAGGTCGTATATGGTTCTCGATGCTACAGATAAATAGTTGCATTTTCCATGCTTAAATTTAATAGAAAGGAAAATATGTAGGTCCTTTAGAGAGGCATACTATGATGATATGTCAAACAGCATTGTTACCAAACCACAGACACCTTTATTAAACAAAACTGATCAAAAAGTGAAGCTATTGTTTCTCAACATATCCTCCATCTAGGTCTATACACTTCCGAAGGTGATTTTCAATCTCGCTAGTCTTCCTTCCCAAGAATTCTGTGATCATTTTTCAGTTGTTGTTGTTAAGTGTCATCTAGTCGGTTCTGACTCACAGCAACTCTGTATAAATTTTTCAATGAGTAAATGGTGGGTTTGAACTGCCAGACTTGCAGTTAGCAGCCCAGTGCTTATCCTACAACAGCACACCAGGAATTCTTGGATCTTTGATTTACATCAAAATAGCAATTTGGGCATCCTTAAGGGACTGAAATTATGTTCTTTTGAAATGATCTATAAAATATGGGAACCAAAAGAAGTTGGAAGGGGCAAGATCAGGACTGTAGGATGGGTAGGGTAAGGTTTCCAAATGAAATTTTCATAGGACAGTCCTTACTATCCTTGAAGACTGTGCAGGTACATTGTTGTAATGGGAAAAACATTCCTTGGTGCAACTTTCCTGGCCTTTTTCTCACAAATACAGTTTTCAATTTCCTTAAAACTTCTTCTTTATAAATCCCATGAAGATCCTGTGACCTCTGAGAAAAATCACTTAAAATGTGTTGTTGTTATTACTAAGTCCCATTGAGTTGGTTTCAACTCATGGCGACCCAGTAAAGGGTTTCTAAGGGGCAGCTGGTGAGTTTGAACCACTGACCTTGAAGTTCAAACCAACCTTGTGTTTTAGTGCTTATCTAACAACAGCACACCAGGACTTGTTGGGGATCCTCCAAAATAACCTTCTGAGCTGGTCTGTCTTCCTTGAGTCCATCTATGAGGTCTTTCCAAACTTCCTTAAAATGTTGAATCCATTGAAACACTTGTTTCACGTGGGGTTGTTGTTGTTAGTGCCGTCAGTGGGTTCCAACTCAGAATGGTCCTATTTTGGGTTTGAACTGCTGACCTGTGGCTTGGAGTCCAGTGCGGCTCCTCCAGCACCACAGGTAGTATTCCCATGAACTTGTAATTCTTCAGTGACTTGGGAAGATGTTCACACGAGTTTTTTATTTTTTATTTTGATATTAGCCTTAACCTCAAAATCATTTTTCATGGTCCAAAACTATCCTTTTTTTTTGGGGGGGGGGAGGCACCTTAAGGAGACTAAGACAAGTGTATTACTGAGAGAACTTGTCTGCAGCCATCCACTGATGGTAGATTCATGTTTAAACACGTTTAGTTTGGAATAAAACAGTGCATGTATGAACTGAAACCCTAATAGCAATACTTCTTGATTTATCTCATAAATATAACCTTGTTGTTGTTGTGTGCCGTCAACTTGATTCTGACTAACACTAATCCTATAAGACACAGTAGAACTGTTCCACAGGGTTTCTAAGGCTGTAATCTTTGTTGAAGTCCTGGTGTAATGTTTCAGGTTGATGCGCTGGACTGCAAGGTCAGTTTGAACCTAAAAGTCGGCAGTTCAAGCTCACCAGCTGCTCCTCAGAAATGCTATACAGGGTCGCTATGAGTTGGAACCAACTTGATGGCACTTAACAACAGCAATTTTTTGTTGAAGCAGACTTAAACATCTTTCTCAAGGAGTGTGGTTGATAGGTTTGAACCACAGATCTTTCAGTGTGCTTAACCACTGTGCCATGATGGTTCCTGCATTGTCCCACCAAAATCAGTACATCTGGACTTATGGTAGTCCTATATAAGGTTTCCAAGGCTGTAAATTTCTATAGGAGCAATCAACATTATCTTTTCTGAGGAGTGGCTGGTGGGTTTGAACTGCCCACCTTGCAGCTAACAGCACAGAGCTTATCCTACAGCACCACCATGGCTCCTCAAATATAAACTAAGACAGGTCCAATGTTTTTTACTCACCAATTTTAAGAAAACATATATTAAAATGTGCTTTATTTTGGCTTTAAATCATTTAGATCATAGAAGCTAAATTCAAGGAGTTCCCTCTGGGGCAAGGAAGGGACAGTTGTGGGCAACAAAAAGATAATAACTGAAATGTATTGAATAGTAATTAAAAATGTTAAAGTCATGCGTTCATATGACAATTGAAAAAGATCTCAACCCATTGATCACCTTTGGAGAATGAGAGGGAACTAATTTGTTATTCTGAAAACTAGAAAACACAGGAAGAGAAACAAACGTATGTCTTAGTCCCTAGGGGAAAATACCAAAGAGTGGTTTGTTGTTGTTATTGTTAAGTACTGCTGAGTTGGTTTAGATTCATAGTGACCCTGCATAGGGTTTCTGAGGAGCAGCTGGTGGATTTGAACTGTCGATCTGTGGTTCACAGTCCAATGCTGATCCTATAGTGCCATACCAGGGCAGCAGTAAATAATAGAAGTTTGTTGTCTTACAGTTCTGGAGGCTGGATGTCCAAACTAGGATACTGGTTGTGTAGATTCTTTCTAAGCGCTTTTAGAGAGATGTTACATACTTCTCTCTCAGTTTCTGGTGGCTCCTGGTGGTGTTGCTGCTGCTGGTAGTGATGTACCTTGGGTCGGTTCCCACTCATAGTGACCCTGCATAGGGTTTCCTAGGCTGTAAATCTTTACAGGAGCAGAAAACCTCATCTTTCTCCCATGGAACAGTAGTTTCGAATTGCTGACTTTGAGGTTAACAATTCAGAAGGGACTAAGGTTAGAACGCAACCAGATTTAACTGATAATAGACAGGGTCACACAAATCCTGAGATTTGTTGTTGTTGTTGTGAAATGCCGTCAAGTCAGTTCTGACACATAGTGACCCTGATTAGGACTTTAATATAACCTTTTGGGAGACACAATTCAGCCCATACCAACATATGTCTTGCTTTTTACTGAAAAACTATACTACAATTCAGTAGTCAAATATTTAATGAAGGAAAGTTCTTTAGAGAAGAATTACAGCTAATAAATGTAGGCAGGTGATAAGATGAAAAT